CTTGATCATATGAAAGGACCATTTCTGTGTCCTCCCCCTGCTTCTCTAGAGTGGGTTTCTGTTCTCTTAGACTGACTTGGAGAGCAGTGCTGTAGGGGCACCATTCCAAGATGCTCTGTCAGGCACAGTTTTGTTGTAGCAGCTGCTAGGCTATTGGCTGCTAGATAAATTTGAGACTAGTAAGTACAGATAGGTTTATTACCTACCCTCCCTTCCTCCTATTCTTCCTTCTTTTCTTTTTCTTCCAGGGCTCAAACTCAGGATATTGCACTTGCTAAGCATGTGCTTTACCACTAAGGTATACCTCCACCTCCTATTCTTTCTTTAAAAACTTTCTATCAATAGCAAGACTAAATACATCTCCAATTAGTAGGACAATGTGGCACTGTCTCCAGGGTAGAAAAAGTATCCAGTGGCATTAAATAAAGAGTATAGAAGCAGGTTCGGATGATCATGTGAAAAAAAATGACTCTTGATTCTTGCTTCATACCATACACAAAAATCACTTAAAAATGGATTGTTGCCAGGTGTGGTGGTGCATGCCTGTAATCCCAACACTTGTGAGGCTGAGGCAGGAGGATTGCTGTGAGTTTGAGATCAGCCTGAGCTACATAGTGAGTCCCAGGTCAGTCTCAACTACATAGTGAGACCCTGTTTCAAACCCCCCCAAAAAAAGGATCGTGGACTGGGAGTGTAGTTCAGTGGAGCTTGTGCTTAACAAACACAATTCCCTGGGTTCAATCCTCAACACACACACACAAAGGATTATATATCTAAATGAAAATATTAAAGTAATAGAGCAGCTGGGAATGGTGGCGCACGCCTGTAATCCCAGCACTCAGGAGCTGAGGCAGGAGGATCGCTGTGAGTTCAAGACCAGCTTGGGTTACATAGTGAGTTGCAGGTCAGTCTCAACTACATAGTGAGACCCTGTCTCAAAAAAACAAAATAAATAAATAAAATAATAAAGTTGCTACAAGATAAAGGATATTTTCATGATCTTGCAATAGACAAAGATTTCTTAAATATGACAAAATCACTAAAGAATTCATAAAAGAAAAATGTTAAGAAAAGGAAATGATATTTGTATGTATATGCAAAGTATCATATATAGAGAATAAATAACCTGTAAAAATTAATAAGAAAAAGGCAGACAGCCCAATTTTTAAAATGGGGAAGAGGCAGGGGTGTTCCTCAGTGGTAGAATAGGTGCTCAGCATTGAAGGCCTTGGGTTCAGTTGCCAACACAAAAAGATAAAATAAAATGGGCAAGACATAAATAGACAGGTTACAAAAGACAGTATTCAGATGGCTAGTAAACGTGCAGAAGGTTCTCAGGCTCAATAAACCATGGAAACCTCAGTGCATTATGCATATCTACCAGAATGGGTAACGCAAATAGAATAACCAGAAAGTCTGACTATACTGTTATTCTAAGTGTTGGCAAAAATGTAGAGCAATTAAAACTCTCATACACTGCTAAAAAAAAAAAAAAAAAAACCCTCATACACTGCTAGATCCATGTTTCAGAATATGCATGATGAATTTTACAAAAATAATGAATGAGAGAAGATAGAAACAAAAGACAATATACTGTATAATTATGAAATTCAAAAGTATGCAAAATAACCTCATCATTTTACAAGTCAAGATAATGGTTATCAATTTTGGGAGACAAAGGGAACTTTTTAGAGGCACCAGTAAAGGTCTATTCTTTTTTCAGGATACTTAACAGATATTTTCACTTTGTAAAAATTCATTAGGCTGTGTACTTATTTGGCATTTTTGGGTATGAATTTTATATTGAAATAAAAATTTCCCAAGCATAGTAAATTTTAAGATTCTAATTTTTTTTTTTCAGTACTGGGGATTGGGCATCAAGCTTTTTTTTGGTACCAGGTATAGAACTTGGGGAATCATGCTTTTTTTTTTTTTTTTTTTTTT